TGCTGGCCTGATGCTCTGCCGGAGGACGCCCGCAATGCGAGCGTAATTTTTCATTCCTTTTAAAACCTTATTTTTAGAGTCAAGAACTGTGAATGTGCAAGTTTTTAGCGACCTATCTGTTACAATTACAATTTGAAAATATAATAAAATAGTTTCAATATTTGAATAGTTCCGGAACCGACATTTAGGCATAAATCTATTTTAGTTCTTTTACTAATAATACAAAAATCTAGTAATAATATAATCTAAGTATTCGTATAGGAGTCATTGCAATTTTAATTACGTACTTATTTATACAAAATAGTAGGAGTATTAACCCTAAAACGGCCTTTACACTTATTGCATTTTAAGGTTCAGGTTATATGATGTAACAAAGACTTTACATCATATAAACGATATGGCAATGCTATATCAATTGACTTCAAGTTAGCCTACAATATTTTTTTTTATTTTAAACACAAAGCTAGTTGCACAAACGTCCATTAACATTGACATTAGTTTAAAGCGACATTACCCATACATATTTGACATTAATTAGAGCTTAAAAGCTTCATTAAACCTTAATGGACTTTTGTGCAACTGACCGATAATACGCTTAATTCCATTTTTGTAAATGCCGGCGGCGGCGCCGCTATATTTTTGTAACAAGGTTGTAGAGGTGCAGTGATAAATTATGATCAGTTTGACCACTACTTTTTAGTGTCGTATCGCAGGCGCCAGAAGCGCGCAGCGGTCGGCTCTTATGAAGACACCGCTCGTTTCACACCTACATCTCTGACCGGTCGAGAGTCGAGACCGCTTCCCACTACAGATGACGACCGGCCCAGCCACAGCATCCGTGCTACGTCCGTTCGCCTTACTTAGGGTTGTCTATAGATTAAATTCTATTATTTTATTTTTTACATAAATTGATTGAAATCAATGAAAAATGAAATTATGGCTCCAAATTCTTTTACTTACAAAGGCCATATATTTATTTGTAACATCAATCAACACATACCTACTCTTGACAGTTTACTAAAACTGACATGAAAATAGTTTTAGTTGAAATATAAGCACGCATGCAGCATACCGAAACATAACGGAGAGTGCAATTCAATTCTCATTTACTACGAGCTTACCACTTACGAATGAGCATGCATGAAAGCCAACGGCTTATCGCACTGATGTGCCAGGGTTGTACTGACTCGTAAAATTTACAGCCTAACCAAACGCGAAGATATAAACGACTGTTTCTAATCAGTTTCAATATTTTTATGTTTCTGAAGTAATTTATTTTATGGTGGATGGTGCGGCGACTCAATATGTAATTAATTTTAGTGGATATTAAACTGACTGTTGACCGTTTTATGCCACTACTTTGTGTTAATTTTTATAACTACCTATTTGCTTTTTATCATCTTCGGACTACGATTTATCTCTGTTACATAATTTCATGCAACTTGAAATCACGTTTATGGTGGAATTTCAGGCCTATTATCATGCATATTAATATGTTTTCCGCTAGCAGTGAATCCACCTATTAAACAGGCGTTCGGCAAATGATTATATGACACAAGTCACTTATAATTAATCGTAGTATCTTTCTTAGTATAAAGTCTTCTGCCGTAAATTTACAAGCCGATTTAATTATTATCAGCCTATTAACAGCCTATAAAAGTTTTACTTTTAAGAAAATGGGATAACAGTACTAGTGCGGATTGGTGTATGTCAAACAGTACAGACGCAGCCTGAATTAAAAATTGAATATGGGATCCAAATCACAGTAGTCTGTGATTTGGATGTGAAAAATAAAATTTTAGTCACAATCTAAACCTGTCTTTGCGATAGTTCCTAAACTTCCACAAACGCACTACTACGCCATCGATATCTGAATAGTTACCATAGCTTTTCCATTTCCAGCGTTTACTTATAATGAAAACCAAATAAATTATATTAAACCTATGGACTGACAACCCTGCACTCCGCAATACCGGCTTATCTATATTTTTTCGCCGCGCCTTTGTGATGTCGCGTCGCGTCCGTTCCCCTCCCCCGCGTAATTTACGACGACGACCCGTGCCGCTCGCTCGTCGGGAGCGGCCCGCCCGATTTATGGGGTAATTTTTACAATGGCCACCGCCACTGCGATTATAAAGTTCGTCCGGTTAAGTTGCCCACTCTTCTGTACCGGGCCAGTTAAAGTTTTGGAATCAGGACTAGACTTTTTTTTACTTTGAAGCGATTAACATTTTAGTTATGTTCAAGAGTAAAGGTTGCCCGTACTTTGTTGTATTTTAGTATTCATGTATTATTGTCACTTAAACATTGTGAAATAACCACATTTTATGAGTAGTTGCTATGCTACAAATTATTAAAACTACCGAGAGAGCAAATTAATATCGAAAGATGAGGTTGCGTAACGAATCATTTTATTAACCTTAGTTTAAGAGTTTGGTAAAAAGTTATTTTTACCATAATGCCCATTGAAACCCCAATTCATGGATTACTAAAGATCAAATCTTATTATTACTAGCGGTAACTACATAATTTAAAATGAAAATGGAGTGATTGAAAAGGCTTGTTTCCTAATATGTAATTAAAATTTATTTTGGTTATTATTTTGGTTTTATAGAACCATTTCATTTAATACGATTATCAAGTCCGTATTTCTAAAGTAACAGTAGTTCAAGATATACAATTTGCTTCATGCGAAGTCGGACAAATCAGACAGACAGCGATAATCAACAATTCCTTTGGATGATGTAAACACCGTGGTAGTTTCTTTCGATTTACTAAATTATTGATTACATCTCACCCGTCCCTGTTCGTAAATTCAAAATATGAATATTTATTTTTTCTGTGTAGTAAGCTGTTCGCGCCATATGCCCTCGCCCTGCTTGCGTCGGGTGTGATGATGCGGAATAATTTAATTGCCGCGGCGACGACTGCATCCGCTGTTGGCCGAGGTGTTTTTATTTTTGTCGTGTCATCGTGTGCTCACTGAGCTCTGCGCGTTTGTTGTTAACAGAAATATGTAGGTACGTGTGTAGTTACTTCTACGTATAAATTCAAAATATTTATGGCGATTATTTTTAATAGGAAAAGTAAAATTTTACTTAAAGCTACATTAATCTTGATTCTGTCAAAATATCTTGTTATCCGAAATATTTTGACAGAAATATTTTGTCACTCTAAAATGATCATAAAAGTATACAGAGTCTAAACCTACTCATTAAAAAAGTATCAATGGTATTTTATTTTCTTTCTCATATTTTAATATTAGAAGCAGGCACAAACACGCAAAATCATCTAGTGGTATGCTCGAGGAAGGTATGATGCTACAGTTGCCTATCTTGCACCAATCCCCATCCAATGTAACTGGAACATTACGGTAGGATTATATGCCCATGATACATGTGAATTTACTGGTATGTAACTCATTGTAAAATAAAATTACACATGTGTAAATAAATGTATTATATAATATATATTTTTTGATCTAGGATATATTATGGTCCTTATCATCCTCATAGGTACTATGATCCATAGATCAAATTCACATAGTTATAATATTATTTACTTCTGCTATTGCTATCAGTCAAGACAACCCTGGATTTATCATATTCTACGTCCAAGGAGCACCAGTGCAGAATTTACATTCGAAGACAGCAGTCGTTGGACGGATTGATATACTCGTAATAAACTTCGGGTTGGAAAGGTGTAATCGTCATTTTGGCTAAAACGATATAATAGGCCTTGTAGTCAGTTGTAGATTTATTGGGAATTTACTCACTTAATTTCCGCTATTTAGTATATTACTGGCCTCAAAGCTCACATTACTTAAAGTACCTAATAAAATTATACTAAAGTAAAAAGGTTCTCGAGAACTTCATTAAGTTGACATAATTTTACTCATAAGAATTACTTTGGTCGTATTCTAACTTTGTAGGTTAGGTATAGCTACTTTAAATCCTTTAGTCAAGTTTACATTATAAGACCGTCTCAATTATGGAAGTCCTATACATCTGATTTGTCTCAATTAACGTTAGGATTAGAAGCTCATAAATTCTAGGAATTAAAAGGTATCCCCGCTAACAAGCGTTTAAAGGCGTGCGGACGCCGCAGGTAAAAACGAAGGACGGCCTGTGGCGGCATTCATTTTAATCAGACGTGTCACCGGTGTCAGTGTTGCCAGATCACTGATGAATTATTACGGATTAGAAACATTAAATGCGGGTAGGTCATGCACATTTATATTATACTAGCTCCCCGCCAGCTATCGTGGTCCCCAGGGAACGTTGACCTTATATGTTAATTCAAGTTTGAAATTATCTTTATACTAAATTTCATCCAAATCCGTTCAGTTGCTTGTAAGAGTAACAAACATAAATACATGATTATAACTTTCGTATTTATAATATTGGTAGGATAGGATATGGAATGTCGATAGGATATCTATAGGTTTGCTGGTTTTTTTTGAAAAATTCTGTTTTAAGTAGTTTTTTCTCTAATTTCGTTCGATTTAAGTTGTGTAATGAATGCACAATGTTTTATTGTAATTGAGGCGCAGGTTCTTTAGTCGTAAATCAGTAAGTAAGATATTATATAATCTAAGGGTACCTATATAAGCACCTTCAGCATGAACAGAAATACCGTGCGCTCGTAGCGCGTTGGTTAGTAGAAAGGGGCGAAGAGAGAGAGAAAGAGAGAAAAATAATAGCTATAGAAAAAATCTTGCTAGTGTAGCCCACAAAGCAATAAGTTTAAATCCCATAATAAAATCTTACAATATTCTAACATGCTAGTTGTAAAATAAAAACTTTTCAATAATCAAATATAAAAAAAATAACGTGTCTACCAAATTCTGTGATTTCTCTTTCTATTCGGATGAAATGATCGATACAGTCGATACGAATTTCGGAACCAGGACAGCATAATATGATAGGAGGTTGTTGAATCGAACGACCGCGGTGTAGTGGCATCGATCGCCTCTTATCGCCCACATTATCGTGCGGTCTCTATGTGTGGCCGCCATTGTTCTCGATTTTGCTAACAGGGCACCGTTGGTCGGGCGAATATAAATTGAATGCGAACGTTTGTTTAAATTTCACACAGCCACGGAGCACGGTATGGTGGCTCGGGGTTGAAGCGACGTATCGTGCGTATGAAGCGACGCTTTTATGATTTCCCGCTACACGTTTCGGAACACGATAGAATGTTTTAAATTTACGCTCTGACGTGTTGTCAGTCTGTTAAATTATTTATTACTATGATAATATACAGCAGGACAGTACACTATTAGGAGATAATCAGTTACCCCGTTAGTGATAAAATTGTGATCATAAGCATAAGGCTTGATGATGAAGGATTTAGTAGAATCTAAAGACTTATCATACTTCAAAATTTTAAACTTGTATCGTTAGCTAGTGTGGGAGAAAGATTGAAATTGAATTATTATCATACACACGGTTACTTTTCTTGATCATGCAAAATCAGTTAAAATGTCGCATTTTAAAAATACAATATGGCGGAAAAGACAAAATTACGATTTATCATTTTCATTTAAATAGTGGGTACCTACTTATTTAAAATTGAGAAAAGCATAGGACTTCTACATTTACTCCGATTCGCATTTACTCGGGGTTTTAGGTGTTTTTAGACAGATATATATTTATTAGTATAGGTATTAATTTGTAACATAACCTGTGTATGACTATACGACCTACAGGAATATGACATACTGGAAAATTTCAGGTTACGTTTAGCAGTTAAACCTACCGCACTGGGATTTAAAGGGTTCGATATCTCAATTACATCATTTATACATGAACGCTTTCAGGATTTTGACTAATAAATATGAATTAAAAGTACCATATGGATTGATTGTACCGATTTGAACCCAAATCAAACACTAATTTTCGTATACGGCCTATGCGTAGAATAAAGTTATATAATTGAATAGCCAAATTCCCTTTCTTAGTCCTTCTAAGGTGTTAATGACGTAATTATATATAACTTTTTGTAAACGAATAAAAAATTGTGTCAATTTTTAAGTCATTTTTTCATTAAGAATATTTTCCAGTATAACATTCTAAATGAGAAATTGATCAAATATAATATTTTTTTTTTAAATGTAGTTCCTAAATTACCATTTGAATCTGTAGAAATTAGGAATTTAGAATTGATCGAATACACGAATTTTGTTTTAGCTGAAACAGAGCGCCCCAGATGAAACTTCATTCTTTTGGTAGGTCGCAGTCATCAAACAAAACAACTCTTCCCGTGTAACTTTCTTATTTGATTTTCACTACTTAAGCCCTTTTTTGAATAAGTCGTAGTCGTAATTCCTTATTAGCTTATTGAATTATTCGCAAACTATTAAGTATTTACGAGTATTGTAAAAGTGTTGCATAATCTGAAAATAGTATAAATTGGGTCTCTTTACAAAACGGGCATTAAGACCCCAATGGGTCTTTCTAGGGCGTTTGAACAGGGATGCTGACTCATAATATGTATCTTCGAAACCGCCACATGTCTGATATCCTAGAATAGGCTCAAAATGAGCTAAGAGATAGTGTCTCTGGTAGGTATATCTTTTTCTGGAGTCGATGGAGTTATTTCACACACTTTATGGCTGACACTCGTTCCGTGTTTATGAATTTTAGTATTAATCAGTTGCTAACTTCTATTTTTGGAAATGCCGATGTGATACGGCATTTATAAATCGCGACCTTATAGTCTGATTGAAAAGTTTTTATTGGGATCTTTAATTTATTCTTAAAGAGGGTAAACAGACTCTGTTCTGTTTTATTTGGCAGAAGGGCGAAATTACTGATACAATACTAGTAATATTATTAGTGCTGGATCCTTCTCTGTCCCCCCTTTCCAAACACCATCCACAAATAAAAGATTATAAAAAATACATATTTAATGCAACGAGATAGACCATTGCATGGCACCTGAGAATATGAATGAAGGTCAAAAGAGTTAAGTGAATTTCTTATTTTGTTGTTACTGGTGACCAACATGTAATACACTAAGTAATTGCTTATTTTACTGCATTGTAATCAATGTTTTCATCAGTCTTTCAATTCAAATACATTATGTCTGTTTTATTTCATACAGAGATGTCGAAGTAAAATTAAAATACAAAAGCTTACAAGCATAAAATGACCTATAACTTTGCTATCCCATGGCAGCTTCATTTTGCAAATACGAAACGCCTCTCGTCATTGAACACCCCAAAAGCAAACGCTCGATACAGAGATTGCCAATGAAGGCGATGATGAATGGGCGCGTCCGGGCGCGTCATGATAATGACGTCTAATCTCCTGCGGCATTATACACGCCTAGTACTGCGGTGGCACACTTCACCTGTCCTTGATGGCTTGCTGACTGACGACTGACTGGATCAATCAATGCTGACTATATTTTACCAAAAATATATATATATGTGGATTTGATTTTTAAACAAGTCTGTTTTAACCTTCCTTGAATAATTCAAATTAAAGAACAATTCCTCAATCATATGAAAATTGGTTAAGTCTTTCCATCATCCCTTTGGGTTCTATGAAAAATAATATTTATGTCAACTGTTCCAAATCTTTTTGCCTTAAATAGAAGAAGTTTCATTCTTATGTATACTTTGCGGTCTTATGTATACTATGGATTTTATTAGAACTTTAGTAGCCTACCTAGATTGCTCGCAATTCATTCAAGTACCTTTGAATTATTGTTTTTATGTAGGTATGCAGTTCATCAAAATATGCGCGAGACCGTGCGTGGCGCGAAACTGTGAGTAGAATGATGAATAAATAGCAAGACCTACTTATACCGCTATGTTACCTATATATGTATGTAGTAGTTACTTCATGATGATACATCTTCAATGATATTATGATTGCCTAGTACTTTAGTTACTAAAGTCACCTGTTTCTGACGTGCGAAATAAATAGTAGAAAAGCGTACCATAGAGTTAGTTCGGTCTACTCGAAGAAAAATATCAGAAATCATCAGAATAACCTTTTTTTTTATCAACAATTTTGTTTCAGGCTTACCTTTAATGGTGGAGTAGGGATGTACAACGGAGGGTCGTTTTGTGATCCGGTATATATCTCCATACCATCCGGACCTCTGGTACATCCATCGGCGTCCATCACGCTGTATCGGCATACTATGCCATCAGCCGGTTTAGCGTCGTATCCCGGCGGTTTCCCAACATGAAATCCCTTTGCCTTCACCCAGAAACGAAACTTGGAACTATCGGAACTATTGCACTCTTCCCCCCGCAATGTGCGCAGAATCCTAGCATATTTCTTCAGTGTGATCGTTTTAGTCTTCGCCAAATCCCCATATGTTTGAATCACCCATGGTTGATAAGTGGAAAAGAGATCTAGTTTCGGGTCTCCAGTTTGGACTTTTGGTCTTTTATTATTGTTCTGCTCATTCTTTTTATCATTCTTTGAGCTGCCCGCAGTAGATTTGCGCTTTGAAGGCTTACGTGGTGTTTTCTCTGGTATTGCTTCCTGTGTCAACTTTTTACGGAGTCCTCTATCCGTTATCATTGCTGCAGCCATTTTTGTTTATAGAACACTGTACTTAGTTATTTTAACACAAATCAGTCATCACTAGATACTTATCCATCACTAAAACATAACATGCTTGTTGTTTCTCTTTTGTTTTGGAACATAGCATTCCAAGAATCGCTCTACGATTATTTTCGTGAAAAGTTGTCGAACGCAAAACTTCTGGGACTCGTGCGTACAACTTTCTGAATAAGAACTTTTGACTGTGAAGTTGCTACCTAAAAGAACTTTGTATAGAAACTTTTGTTTGCAGAGTGCTGTACTTTCGACCCATTCGTTTCTACATATGTTTCTGATTACCTTCTGAATGTTTATAAAATAGCTTAGTAGAAAGTTTAAATACATGTCACAACAAAAACAAATCAAACTACCTACTGAATATGTTTCAAATCAGAACATAAAAATAGTGATTATTATATCTAATATAGATAAACTTAAATTTAATTGCCTTCCATCAAAAGACGGCAGGAGTAAAGAGCGACGTGTTCCAAAACAAAAAAGTACCAAGCATAGAGCGATTAGTCGATGTAACCGCGTATTCTGTTACGGGACAGCGCGACACAGACCCAACACGACAACCGCTCACGTGGGGCGCGCGCGGTGCACTGCCGACTGGCATCCCGTCTGGGGACGGGCCGGCACGTGCGGGCCGCGCTAATTGCCCGCAAAACAATCGCCGATCGGGCGGCCCGCGCGATAACGCCCCGTCCTTCGCACGATAACGCGTGTAGCGAGCGACGGCCATTGTTTCGAGCCACGATCAGTGGGTAATGCGCGGCTTGCACGGATTATTGCAAATTGCTCACGCTGCTGGTTCGAGTAACGCCACAGAATAAAACTGAAGTTTGTTTCTCGATTATAATACATGCCATATTAAGGATCAGTTTTTAGATGATTTCAAAAAAACCACAGCATGTAGTGGTTCAAGAATTTAAGCACACAATTAGATTGTAAAATACTTATAATTGTTTATAACCATTATCAGAAGATATTGATAAAAAATCACGATAGGAATACCAGACTGACCACGACCCCTTGTTGCCTTAGATTACTTATAAATATAATCAGACTAATTTAATACTTAATAGATTTGTGCTCGAGATTGACTTTGACGCCGTTTTCTATTCTGGTGTTATTTGAACGGTAAAGTTTTTGTAGATACTTTTTTCAATATAAAATTAAATAGATACACAAAATTATACACTTACTAATATTTTAAAGCTGTTACAATTTAAATTCCTGATTCTAAAAGAATTAATTAATTTTAATTAATTCTAGTTTTAAGAACTAACAAAAATAATTGATGGTTATGCTAAAGTTAAACTGTTGGCGGACTGTATGATTGTATAATAATAAACAAATGCAAATAATAATAATAGCATGCTTATTTTCAAGAGAACACGAATCCTACAGCACTTTGTCATCAAAGAAATATCAGTCGTACTTCATATATTTAGTTCGTTTCGTCGGAAACTTATCCAATACACTTGAGACTTTTTGTAACGCATGTAGCATGCGCGCGCATTGAGCACGAAACGATGCGCACGCGCCGGCGCTCTTGCGCGAAATGTGCGCACGTTACTAGGCGTTCATACAGTGTGAGGAGCATGAAAAATATTTTTGTTTAGCGGCAGTAGAAGGTCGATGACGGCAACCGTCAAGCAAAATAACTAGATGCTTTTGAGAGCGATACGTTTCTTGATTCGTAAGCATGCCAATCCACTGGAAACGGTTAGATCAAGAGAAATTTTAAATAAAAAAAGCAATTAAGGCAAGTGAGGGATCTCGTCCCTGGCGCCAGTTTCAGGGGGTTCAAAATCCTGTTAATCCAATTAAAAATAAATTCATAGACGTAGACTACGATAGGACGGACATTTTTTTAATGTCCCTAATTGATATCGTACATTGCAAAAATATGAGAGTGTAAAAATAGAAGAGAACAATAGAAATTGTCACTAATATGTCAACTCTAGGTGAACTGTGTATATGTCATGCGCCAATCGTTGAATTGGGCCGATCGCGATCTCTCGGGCATATCACGATATGCCGCCATTTCTTGATTTGACCAGAAAAATCACGATCGGCTCTGTTAAAAGTTGACGAGAGCGACGTATTAGTTAGTCGTTTTCCCGACTTTTATTGTTGAAAAAAAAACAATTAATATTTAAATTTCTTTTTATTTGCTTATACAGAGATGGGCGGTAGGAGAAAACTCGAGTTGTTACCCATCTATGCTTACATAGTACACCCTACAAAATCGATTGGTCTAAGTATACTCAGTAAACACTAAGCATTAAACGATATGGCGGATAATAGATGGCCAAATCAAAAAATGGAGGCATATCTCGATAGACCCAATCAACGATTGGCCTACGACATATATAAAAAATAATAAAAAAATTGGTTGACGAGTCTTGTCGATCACGTCCGAGATTAAAACGAATCGGATTCGATATTGCTTCATAATGTCGACTTGTACTAGGAGAACATGAACGCGTAGGCTCTTTGTCATGGCTCAAGTTTAGAATTTCGTGCGCTTGGGCCTTCGCGTCTTTTGCACCTTAGTACAATACAATACGGTGATGTTCTTTCAACCATCAGTGGTAGATGGCGCTACCTTCCCAAAAATTTTAAAATAGATAATTCTGAAAACAAGGTTTTTGTTCTAAATCTTTTGATAAAAAAATGTTACTTAAAAATTTAAAAAAAAAATTAAATATTGTTCTCGTATTTAAATGATAAGATTTATGTCTCAAACAAGACGTAGAGAATGGCGAGTATTCTATGCTTTTGGGCATGTCAAATAATACTTATATAAGATAGTTTTAAAGGTCATTGGTAGTAAAAAGAAAGTGCTGATGCACCAAAAGAATAGTTTTTCTGGATTCCTTCAGCATACACAGAAGTGTAAAAAATTCTATGTAGATAGAATTTTCATACCTATGCTGGTAAGTTATGCGTGCGTGCGTTTATTATTACTCGTAGTCTTTGACGTTGACGTTTAGATAAATGACCGGAAATAGTTAGAAGCTCATGTCAGAAGGTGTAGACTCTGGTTTAGATATCTGCTATACTGTAATAAAAATGTGATCTCTGATCGATGACATTGAAGATATATAAAAAAAACTCATACGAGGGAAATTCGTGGATGTGATAGAACACGAAACAATGATTTTAAAATTTTTGTCTATTTGTCTGTGCGTTTGTGTACGCTAATCTCAGAAACGGCTGAACCGATTTCAATGCAGTTTTCCCTATTAGTGGTTGGCAGCCTTATGTGGGTACATAACACAGAGCATTGCAGGGTCTTAGCTGTCTGGGAGAGGCTTTCAATGTACCTCCTCTCCATCCTCTCCATCCGCGAAGGGACCAATGGTCAAATACTTGAACCTCCTGATGACTAAGCCACGGCTTCCCGGGTCTCATCTCCTACGAGAAGGCGCACCGTAGAGGTGTCGGTGGGTAGACCTCCAGGGAGCCACTGGGCATCTCACTACCGGGTGGGTCTCCTACTAACCCCTTGTTGTTTATCAGGTAACCGGGACAGCTCCTGCAGCATTTCCTCGGCGTATAAAATAAGTTCGGTTCCGGTTTTAGCAGTTACTTTCGTCAGGAAGATACCGAAAATTAATTGTAAGAATGTCCCAGCATGAATCTAGATTGAGTTTACACTGTTCATGAATGATGGCTTCTTGAATTTGAGATAATAAACAGTAAAGAGTAAGTTACATCACATGTTAAATAGATAAATGTTACATAGACAAAAAAATCTATATAAATCAATTTTCAAATGATCCCCGTCTGTCGGGATCTAAGTACCGCGTGGACATTTAACTACCTAAATCATAAATTTATATCTTAAATTAAAGTGCATTAAATAAATTAGCATGATAAAATATTTTTGTGACTTTTCATCGATATAACTTCGCCAAAATCGAATTTAATACTTAAAAAAACATCATAAAGCACTTATTTGATAAAATATGAATAAATTACCCACCCTTCTATAATTTTCTACAAGAAAAAGTTAAATAATCGTCATAATCGTCAATTCATCGAGTAAAAAGTTTCAATAACGATTGATCACTGATTAACGAAACATTTGCGGTGTGTACAGCTTTATACATACAATTAGATTAGTTCATTTACGGTCAGTTGCACAAACGTCCATTTAAGTTTATTGACGACTTTAAGCTCTAATTAATGTTCCAAAATTGAAAATTTGTATGAGTAATGTGGCGTTAAACTAATGAGAATTGAAATAGACGTTTGTGCAACTGGCTGTTAGATTATTTAAGACCTTTACAAATATTAGTTATATATAATTACATAGATATAAGTAATTAAGCGCAGCGTTACCAACAGGCGTAACCATATTACGCGAGTTTGAGAGACCGGACATTCATGTACGGTTATTTCGTCTGCAAATACTAGGAAAGCATATATTTAGTAGAGGTACGCCTATTATTTGTGTGAGAGTTTGTTATGCAATCGGTCCGTCATCCGGGCACCAAATTCGCTTTATATTATAGATTAAAAAACACTAAAAAGCATAAAATATTAAAAACTGTAAAATTAAAATTGGCATATTGTGGTTGGTAGCTTGACGTGCAATATTGGATTTCGTGTAAATTTTGCATTTTGGTTGTACCACCGAATTGTCATTTTTTAATAAAAATATGTTTGCAGTGGTCCTTCCAAAACTTATCTGACATATAGTTCGAAATAATGAATTTTTGGTCACCCATCCTATGACCGGCACTTGTGAGAGTTGCTTAACAACCGATTCGCACACCAAGTGAGTTAACCATCGTAATAAAACGACCAACAGCTTAAAGCGAGGTTGTACGAAAGTACCACTTTTTAAACCAATATTATTCTTATATATTATTATTGCTAAATAAAATTCATTTAATTAAACTTAAACATATAGCTAAACGATTGCTTGAACGATTTATAATAGACAGGATTATTATTTATTGTTAATTCTTAGGGTGGTGGTTTACTTGTTTTCTTTGTGTTTGTGTATTCGTATAATTTAATCGCCAAAATAATTGCGGAATACACTAAATTCTCTAACAGTCTCTATTTGTTGGGCTAGATGGCACTTGCAATGGAAATATTGTTGTATTGTATGTTGTGTAAAAACATTTGTACTGAAGAGGCCATGGCGATTGATGAATGTAAACGGCATTCAGAAGTTTATTAAAAATCAGTAACCAGTTGGTGTTACTTTATTATTTTAACTTAAATTGATTATTAGTTCTTAAATTAATAAATAAAAAAAATATGTTGACTTCATTTAAAAAGTACTAAATAATTGAAGAGAAATTGAAAATATCACTCCCTAGTAAACACTCAGGCCCTTCAGTAAGACATAAATAAAATCTTAAAGTATATTACTGGCTTAAATGTTTGATGCACAATAAACCATTATTAGTTTTTATTTCATTGATATTTTACTATCGAAGCAAAATTAGTCAAAAATTTACTTAAAATTAAAGAGTCACAAACACATTTCAACTGAAATAAAATTATTTTATATGGAATCTATGGTAGGTATGTTTAAGGAAATGCTAGCAGAGACTTCTGGAGAATAAAAAAATATGTCGGCTGTTATTTGAGTTTTAATTCTTTAACATGATATTTTTTAGAATAATACTTAAAAATATAATAATAGCGAGAAGCACCTGGAGTACTGGAGTATAAAAGTTTATACTTACTATCTTTTCTAGTTAAATCATATCTGTATATGTATTGAAAGTCTACAATGTTTTGGGTCAGGTCCTAAAGGAAGAGGTCAAGGTGAACCCAATCTAACTTTTGATATATTTTTATTAATTAGTTTTATAATGTAAATATAATAACAATCTTATAAATTATCCTTATTATGTAATTAAATTAACAAATATTATGAATTAGCAATTATTGCCTCATTGTATCAGGCATAAAATGGAACAAATTCTTTCGCATCGAATGCGAAGATTAAACTTGCTGAAAAAGGTTATTTTCATTAAAAAGGCGCCTAAACCAAAAAATCACTAACTTTCGATTGGTTTTATACACAGAAATAACGTCCGCAAACGATTTTTTTTTTCTCAAATAAAATCATATAATGAATGCCAAATTTCGCCATGTTTTTCAATTACCTCTCCTAATATTTTTTATCACAGATTTTTTTTAAAATTTGCGAATCATTTTCTAACCGACGGCTTCGCCGACTATTACAAACATTGTAATGGCTTGCGTATACTTCTTTGGTGCACAATAAGCAATCGTCTGTGCTTATCTAGTTCACTGATGAGCCTGTTGATTGCGTTTCGTTACCTCTTCCATCTTTAGGCCTAACCTTATAGTGGGTGCATCGCAGTCTACCGCTTCAAATACTGGTGGTGATAGGGAATAAGAAGTTGCTGAAATTGGTCGACTAGTTACGTGACGTTCGAGGAACAGTTGATTAATTTTCACCATCATTCTATCTCTTTCTTCTTCTGAAAGCTTTCTTAACTTTTTAGCTATTAGTGTGCCAAAAATTGAACACTCATCATCATCATCTGTAGACCGCTGATTCTGATACGCATTTTTCATTAGATTGAATGCTTCCTCCATCTGTTTCTGCGCTTGTATCAGCTCGGGTGCAATAAGCTGCCTCCGCTTAGATACCTCGGATGTAATTGCTGTTTTTGTGTACTTTGCATTGGATGGACGATGTTGGGAGGGTGATGATGTAGTCATGGATGGCAGTGATTTTTTTCGTCTTTCTTGCAAAACATCTTTAGTTTCAGAAGTTGCATTCGTATCAAATTTACTTGACTCTTCATTTTCTTCGCCCTTTAACGCAAAAGTTTAAAGTATTATAATATTTTATCTTTTTTAGTTGTCTGCTGCGGAAAAAGGTTGATTTGCATTTTATGATTTTTATCAGTGTTTCGCTTATACTATTGGTGCTACCGATGAAACACAAGTACAACATACTAGTACTTCGATTTGGCCGTGGACAACCGTTAATAACACCATGGGCACACCAACTGGTACCGTTGGCAGAGAAATAAAAAGTATATTTCTACTTAACTTTGCATCAGTCAAGGATGAGTTTATAATTAAAACTAATTAATTAAAAAAACAGAAGCGATAAAAGCAACTGACATGGATAGACTTATGTACGCGATGGCGTTACTAGCTGTACTCAGGGTTCTCTCTGAAAATGCAGCACTGTGAAGCGGGTACTGTGGAAGCCAACTCGACGAAAATGGCTAGTAATATTATTTAGTCAACAGTAGTTATGATTTAAATAAACTACAAAAAAAAAGAACATTTATTTCAAAAAAGCTTTACAAAACTGAAAAATAGTAGAAGACACCTGTATTCAAATGGGGAGGGGGTTTTGTGTAGGTTATAAATGTTGAAGTTGGGCGAGGTCTTCAATCTCTATATTACTTCCACATCACCCAGAAGGTGCTTAAAGCATTTAATCCGTCTTTGTAGTATTGAGCTTAAAGTATAAAATAAACAATAGGTAACCTTTGGCCAATTACTTTGTTAAACTTTCACAAATAAATCATTTATATAATAATATTTTACTAGTTACATCATACCTCATTTATACTGATGTTGCAAGTATATACGGATCCCAAGAAACTGTCCATTAGTGGAAACGCATACCACGTTGGTTGATACAAGTCATTTGCGTCTGCAGCTGATATCTCAGATTTCTTAATCTTGCCTTTGTAGGATCTATAAGCCGACATCAGGCACTCTTTCTTCTTTTTTAAATCCCTCACACTGCAAGGCAACCCCAAACTTTCTTTGATATTATTCCATGCGTCATTTACACGTTGCCTATTTCTGTGATTATTATTCTGAGGATCCCATATACACGGATTCATCTGATAAAGTTCTAAAAATCTTAGAACGGTTTCGTTGTCCCAATTCATGTTAAAATTTGAAAATAACAACAGCAGACTAACAAAACACGTCCGTCCTAGTCGACGACCCGCGCGTTTCTGAGTGAATACGGCCACGGTCGATGTGTCGCTGTAGTGCATATTTGCACAGTACAAAGTATTTGTGTATTTGGCACGTTTGTTTGCGTTGTTTGCGATCTGAAAAACATACAGAGCAGTATAAAACGGCAATGTGCGTTTGTAATTTGTCTTATTTGGCGATTAGGCAAATAAAACCAATGTTTTATCGAAACATTATCTAACGCGTGAGTTATTTGTCAAATATGACAAATACGCAAACAATAATGAGGAAGTATAAAAAAAATAATTCTCGAAATCATAGTAGTTTGTTAGATTTCGCTATGTGTTTTGCAAGATTTTGATTTTTTTTCTGATGTAATTGTATTTCTAAAGTAAATTGAGTTTTTGGGATTTTCATAAATAAGTCATCATCGGCTATTTTAAGATCTTCGTGTTTTGATATTTCGAAAAATGATTGATTTATGTTACGTGTAAAAAATTAAACGAAGAGAGTAGGTATTGCCATCTAGCGACATTTATTTTAAGTCTCTTCTTTTTTATACTATTGGTACTTCCCATTGAGTTACTTCTTCATAGTCATGTGAAGTGCCATTTCGAAAAAACTTGAATCAAAACCACCTAAACCCTCGTCATATAAGATAAAAAACCTTATTCACTCTACATCTCCATAATTGAAATAAAATTATTTTAGATAAATTATTTATACATTATACTGATATAAAAAATATAATAAGTAGGATTAATATCATAATATAAATATCCTATTCCTATTCAAGTTTCTATCGTTTAAAGTATGGTCTTGTGATCATTGAGTAACAAACGACTTATCTACATCTACAGTCAGTAGTCACCGTACTGTTCATAACATTGCCTCTTACGTTTCATGTATTCCTAGTAACAATTGTAGATGTTAGTTTCAAAACCAGCTAAGTCCAAGCAAACCAATCGCCGTATGAACCAACCAATCCGCTGTGTTTTTCTTCACTGGTTGACAAAAAGTTTCTTATAGATAAAGATAAAAAACTAAAATTAATTACTTAAATAATAATCCCATTTCATTATCAAATTCAGTTTAATTTTAAAAAGTAAACTAATTTAATGCTTATCGAACTTTTATATTGAGTGATTTAAAAGAGTATTTGTAAAAATAAAGAACACCTGTATCATCAAGGTTTTACATGTTTTCACGTGTTTTCTTGTGATAATTTATTTTTATTTATTAATTTAATCACGTCACAAACAATATATTAAAAAAATAAACTAGTAATTCTCTTTATGGTCTAAAAATCCAAACAAGACGAGAAATTCCAAAATTCTATCAGCTTTAAAGTTTGTTGAGCTTTCGTGTTCGATAGTATTATAGACTAGGCTGGCAGGTGTGCAACAGTACGTGTTTCATACATATACTGTATATGTAGGTAGATGTTTGTCAACGACACAAGGACAAGCGAGGGACCGTGCTGCAGGGGGAATACGCTCGTATCGGGCGGAACGGGGCTTAGTGATGTGAGAAGAATTGTGAAATTTTTAATATCGATTTGTCGTAGACCAGTGTTCGAGCCCAAAAAATATATTTCAGCTTGGAAGGAGATAATTTCCCTTTCACTTCTTCTCCCTTAAGTGCGTCATCACCACGTTCAGGTTCCATTAGCATGTGAGTCGCAGGATTTGATCCAGATCCGGAGGATGTTGAACTAATTCACTATTTTGATCAAAATACTAAACTCGTTTAGGATTATGATAAAATCAAGACTCGTCTGCTGCCATGGCAAGATAGAAAATAGTCCCTAATCACACTTATGACTTTTCTGGTACAACTATGTAATTTAATACTTTTTCTCTGTTTTAATTAGATTGGATTTTGTATCTATAAAAGGTTTTTTACAATTTGTTAATTAAAATTTACAAAAGACTAAAATTTGGCATAATATTTGACTTTTGCCTGATATTGTTTTCATATCGATAGAAAGTAGCTCAGTTGCCACACTACTGACACCTACTTAACTGGCCCAACCACTGGCACCCACTGGTGTGGTTTGATCGCCCCCTTCCCCCTTCGGCTTATCTGACGCGGAAGCTCGGGCAGATATATTTCATCTCGCCACTCGACCACACTCGACGTCGTCGTCGGTTTTTCTGCTTCTGCTAGCGGATTGAGTACCACGTGATATTTTTAACCTGGTGCTTTGCTCGAGTTGATTAAGTCAACTTATTTTTTTATTTTGGGGAAATATTTTGAAACTAGAAACACCATCGTATGATTTAGTAGCTTGTTTTATTTTGTCTTTAAGAAGTAACTATACTATCTACATAATAATATGTACTGTACATCTATCTATGCATATTATAGAATAAAGTCGCTGCACGCTACGTGTACGCTGAGATCTTTTAAACTATAAAACGGATTTCGAAGCGGTTTATGAATTTACCGAGTGATTCAAAAGGAAGGTTTATTTATAACGAATGATCATGTGATCGAAGCCGCTAGCGGAAACTTAGTATTACAATTATTTCAGGTTTACCTGACAAAGTTGTATCAAAAAATACAAATATTAACTTATACAACCGTTATCAAAAGTTAACGTCTGTCACAAAACACAGAAATGTCTGGCATTGTCTGTGAGTTTAGAAATAATCTCCGGAAATGCACACCTGATTGCAAAATAATTATTAACATTAAAATTGATTTCTAGGATATTAAATTTCATCAAAGTGTTGCCAAGCCGAGACCATACGACTCGCACTGTCAAAAAGTTATCAGATTACGGAGTAAGGTAGGTAAGTAGAGTAAGGATTTAACTCTACACGCCCTAACTCTATAAATCTTTACTTCATTATATTTTCACGCGCATTATCTATAAATGAAACAACAGCAAACAACAAATAATTTGTTCTATGGAAATGTCATCAAAATATTTGCGTATTGATACATCGGCCGAACATGAGAAAGATAACCTTAAGAATAAAAAATGTACCGTGTTTTTGAAAAATTTCAGTATATAACGGAGAGCATTATATTCACTATACTCCGAATGATAGCCCCCTTGAGTCTGAATGCAATGCATAGACATGAAAGTATACGATACGATACCAGATAATCGCTATCGCCTTTGTGGAATGCAATGGCGTGGCCAAATACCGGGTGTGATAATTCGCTCCACTGGGCAGTCAAGAAGCCATCGTGAATGTGGAGATGCTCTGGGATTATGATAGTTTTCTAAAATATCACCAGATTACATCCCATATATCTGTGTTCATACTGAATAGCGATTGATGTAACTTTTATTGAATAGTTTCTTGAGTTTTTGGGCTGACGTTTTAATTATTGAGAATAGGCAAATAGTTTCGTTTATCCTAGCTGTTGACGGGCTTAAAGTCTTGTCTACTTGTCTTTTAAGCTACTGGTCAGTAAGAAGTATTAATTCTGAATCCGCAGACATCCGCATTGTCTGAGAACATAAAGGCACAGATATGAATACGGTTTATTAAATACGGTAAACTCCTACTTTTTCCCATTGTTCCTAAGATACTTTAATTTTATTATTATGGGTACTGTTTACTAACACGTTTTTCATTTACATCTAATAGATGATTCAGATCAGAAGCCGCGAGTAATAATCGCTTCATGCGACCTAATAATGTAATAAAACCTCACGGTAGATTACAGTGAAAATGTGTAAGACATGTAATAACTAAGTTACGAACGTCACTGTGTTTCGTTTGCACGCTGTTATAGTAATTGAAAGACGTCTGACGTCAAATATTTCATGACTCGCATTCGCGCGGTGAGGCCGCCTCGAGCCGAGTACCAGGGGCGCAGCGCTCGCAGGCGTCAGCAACAGAGTAAATTAGGCGGCGGCGGACACTCGGCGAGCGCCCGACGCGCGCACTCAGCGATATTGTTATCGGCCCGCCCCGGTTCAAATAGGGTTACCTCTGTCAAAGCAAATCCATAATACTTTTTTTCCGTGAATTCAATATCACTTAATACAAATCTCTGATTTTATTATAAAAATGAACATAATAAATGTCAAATATATTACGTGACGTAGTACATGCGGGTTAGGATGTTATTTCGCAGCCAAGTGGATTAATCAGCCGTTCATTAAGGTGGTTAGCCCTTTAATTTAATGGCGCCATTCATTTAACGGGCTGACCTTCGATTAGCCAGCAGCTGAATGCATCGTTCTACTGATTAACTGTCAATTCATTGGGAATACCGAAATTTATTGGTAGAATTAAAAGTAAAACCAAAATCAAAATCAAAATTTATTTATTCAGTTTAGGCTTTTACAGAGCACTTGTGAAAGTCGAAAACTACGCCATCGGTTCGCAAAACTACGGCGGGAGACCTTGTACTGAGAAGAACCGGCAAGAAACTCAGCAAGGGCTGTTTTTTTTCTCCCTGTTTTATTTCACACAGAGAAGTCTTATTGAAAAGTGACTTCATTAGAATATGAAGTCACTTTCCATTACAATATTAGAAAGTAAATACAATAAAGTTAAAATATCTAACACCATGCCTTTTTGTCATTTAGATATTCCTTAACGGTATAATACCCTTTACTTTGTAGACAACTTTTAATATGACTTTTAAAATGATTTATTGGCAAATCTAATACATCACTGGGGATCTTATTAAAGTATTGTATACCTTGACCCATGAAAGAACCTAATACCTTCTGTAACCTGTAAGAAGGCATTACTAGCTTGTTTTTATTTCTAGTATTAAGTTTGTGTACATCACTATGTTTGGTATACACATTAATATTGTTCCGGACAAAAAGTATACAACTATATATAAACTGAGATGCAACCGTCAATATTCCAATTTCTTTAAATTTCTCTCTAAGAGATATTCGCGAGCCCAACTGATAGATAGATCTTATTGCCCTTTTTTGTAAAACAAATATAGACTGAATATCGGCTGCCGTTCCCCACAATATAATACTATAGGACATGATACTGTGAAAATAACTAAAGTACACCGTCCGCCAGTTTCTATATCGGTAATTTGTCTTATTTTTCGTATGGCATATGCAGCCGAGCTGAGTTTACCA